TGACCACAGAATTTCGGTCCTATAAATGAGCCGAGGAGGGCCAATCTACCCGGAGAGAGGACGTGTAACAATAAATTACTCCGGAACAATACAAACCTCATCAGTTTTTCTAACCCACAGAGAAGATGAGGGAGTATGTGGCCTCTGTGCGGTTCACACAAGGAGCTAGTCCATGATCCATTATTAAACGTGCCGACGGGTGCGTCTTTTTGCGCCAGTGTCCTGTGTTTAAATTAAAATGTGGGTCAACTAGGAGCTCCAGGTGTCTTATATGTCCAGTGTGGAAAAAAAACTATTTTATGATCAACAGGAGCCTAATTCGTGCGTCATTTTAATAAAACCATACCCCCATAAATCTACATCATGTTGTAGATTCTTCTCAGACCCTCCGCTTCAACTTAACTTGTGCCAAACACCTGTTCGCCCTTAATTGCTCTTGCAAACTGAGATTTTCTGTTTGATTCATCAACAATTGGACAATTAAAAATATCTCACAGGAGAGCAATTACGCACAAAACATATCACCGAAAAAATAATTTATCTTACCTAGATTAACGAAGCTCATCACCATATCTGCGTCATTTAGAAAGGCAGTTTCTTGATATGTGGCCAGAGGAGGACTCTGGGTTGTCCGCATGGACTGATACTGGTCCAGCATGCCTTCTACTTGGCTTTTCTCCTCGCTAGAGATGGTGTTGTATAAGTCCAACATGAAAAGTGGAGCGGAGTTGTACTTTCCATGTGACAGATGCGGTCTCGGTCTGTGCGGCAGCCCGAGGATGGACAGGATCTCCTTCTGCATCTCCCTCTTCTCGTGCGTCCGCAGCCGCCGGTGGATGAAACCCGGGTGCACTTCGTTGTTTCCATCCAGTGAATAATTACTCCCCGCGACCAGGAACATGAAGTAATAAGTGCTCCACCACAATCCGACCAAGGCAAGCCAGCAGCTGGTCATGGTGTTGTCCCGCTGTGCTCTCCGGAGTCCCAAGTGTGTCTGGCTTGGAGCTTGAGTCGCGTATCCAAATGTAGAATAGATGTAATGGGAACCAAAGTCCGTCCGAGTGCGCGGTTATCTGTCGCAGCCGCAGATCAAAAGCGAGAAAAGACTCGTGTATCAAGCCATTTGAAATACTTCCTAAAGAGAAATGCGCAAAATAGTGTCGGTCCTGCTTTCATTTCTGATTCCGGTAGCGCGCTGTGCTGCTTCAGGATAAAGTGCACCATGAGAAACTTTATTCTGAGCGCTCCGGTAAGTCGGTCAAAAGACACCGCTTGACACGAATTTCACAAATAAAAGACTGACAAGTCCTCTGAAAGAAGCCATTTTACTGAAGCGGATATGTTTGCTCTCCAAAAAGACAAGATTTCCAAACGTTGTGCACTGACAAAAGCCGCCCTTTAATAGTTGAAGTGGTCTCTGTGACGGTCACCTACTCCTACAGGCTGTGTATGAGAGTCTAACAGGAATCAGCAGGTTGCAGTCCATAATATGCGCGCGTGCACGTGTACCATATGTGTGCGTCCGTGTGTGTGTGTTCCGAAACCGCCCACTCCGTGCGCACTTAGCCAGAGGTGGAGCTCTCCAGGCTACAAGGACAACTCTAACATCATATTTCCATATTTTGTTCGCTGCAGAATAACAGCCTGTCCATTCTAATAAAAACGCCAACATAGTCTGCTTTGCAATTGTATTGCTCATAATGTTCCTGTTACACACTTTCACAGTCTCTGTGATATGATGACTCCACCATAAGCCCATCTTTTTTACATTTTTGTTTAGCTGTTGTATGTGATCACTAGTATTGGGGTATAACTTCAGATTCGCCAGCTGCGTTTTAGTTCTAAGCAGCTTACAGAGTATATTACCGAAATTTATGGTTACACTTCTGTTTCAAAGGTTTGGATCATTGCGCCTTCTTGCAACACTTACTCCTCTTAAAAGCCGTCACGAAACCGTCAAACCTGCCATAATGTAGCATGGATTACAACTTTACACATCCACAGTCAAGGTGTGCGTCAACTCCGGTCAAGCAGAATAAATGTTGCCCAGTTGAGGCACGACCCCTGACGATGGAGTTGGAAACAGCAAGCAATGACGCACAGCAACCTACAGAGGAAAACTGACCCGAAAACTGATCTCCTTTAAACACTATAGAAATAAACCGTCTTAAGTATTTTAATTAATTGTATAGCTTAACATTGAAACCAGCTGGATAATAGGTTGCACCTCCAAGTCTCTGTCTTTGTGAACAAATCGCACCAATTATAAAAATGCCGGCTGTTAAATGTCATAGTATACTTGCAGGTCTAAAAATATTGTTTAATTTTAAGTTAAGAATACTAGCAGAGAGCAGCTGCACATGCCCCTGAAGTCCATGAAAAGAAAAGAAATTCTTTTAAATCCTAACTTCCATCTCTCCCTCCACGTCCTCCTATCATTCCTTTCACCCTAACCTGTGTTGTGTCTTCGTGGCCCCTTCAGACTGTGATGGTCCTGGTGATAAGGTCCAAAGGTGTCCATATCTCTCTGTGTCTCTGCTACTGCTGCTGCTGCCAGGGCCTATCTTATCTGCATGTGAAGAGTGAGAACCAGCATCAAAGCTACACATACCACCACCAAACACACACACACACACACACACACACACACACACACACGCACACACACACACACACACACACACACACACACGCTAACTGCTTGGTCGCTCTCAGACTCAAATACACCTCAGAGCTAAAACTAAATGTCATATTAAAACTTAAAATAAGTTAATTTACAGCATGTTAACATACAATGCTGTTTTTGCATGTTGTTGCCCATTCATTACAACTTATGCAGATTCTTCTTTAATGTTTCTGGCAACCATTTTGTAGTTCATACCACACCAGCAGAGATATTCAGATTTTAAAAAGCTTTTCCTGTATACCAAGCAGAAATCCTGTCAGAGCAGTTTAAAAAATAATGTGCAAAGACTTGAGAATTGTTTGCGACAGCATTATGCGCATGCCCGTTCGAGATTCAACCGAGAGCTCAAACTCTAAAATAACAGAACGAGGGCTGAAGACGCCCTACTGGGTTGACTGAGAACCAGGATGTCATTTATCAGCTTTTTTAGTTTTTCTTGGACTAAAAATTCCCATTTACCTAAATGAGAGCTTATCCCTGATTTATAACACAGATTCAGTGGTTAAGCTGCGTTTGAGCAACAGGGTTGAGTTTCCTCAAGATGCTTTTTTGGCTCTGGCACTAAACACAGAGACAGGGAAATAGTCATTTTGCGGATAAAACTATGAATGGAAATAGGGGATTTATACCGCCTCATTTGAGTCAGCTCATGGTCACACACAGCATGGAATCCATGTTTTAAACACTTCATGGAGCATTAACTTTGGGTATGTGTCATACTCAATAAACAAGTCAGCACAAAAGCATCCGCAGCTTCCTCTTCCTTGGTGCTCTCCAGTGCTATCACAACATTCCTGTGATGAACAAGCTGCACACTGTAGGCTGACAATGACTGAAAAAAGCACTCAAATACTTCTATATGTCCTTAACATTTAGCTTGACATAAAGCAACTGTGTGTGTACATGTGTGTGCATCCCCAGCGGCAGAGCAGGTGATGTGTGTGTGCTGGGTGAATTGGAAGTAGAGGGAGGAGGAGGAAACATTAAACAGAGGTTCTGTGTCCTGTCATCACACTGTCTAGACAGGACACCTCCTAGACCTAATGAGGTCTTTGTCTGTCTCTATCTATCCCTTTTACACACACATACATCACCATACAGCTTGGTTTCAGTTCTTCAGTATTCCTGCGAGACAGTTTTATTAAAGAGCATTAAAAGGTCACAAAAGAGTTTACACAAACTTGCACACACAGAGATTTTTGTGTGTTTTGCGTTTAAGTACGACACACACACACACACACACACACGTCTCTCCAACACACAAAATTAAGGGGAAGCGTGCTCCAAAACCATAGGAATGCTTACACCTGGCACAGATCTGACAGAAAGTGCTGAATCTTCTGCAATAATTACAGTATATTGCTATGGTTACTAGGTCACACGCGCATGTACGCCAACACACGTCTTATCCCAGTAATCAAGTGTTTTTCAATGGAACAATGGCGAGCTGATGCAGGTTTCTTGCTTTTGATGCCTTTTTAGTCTTTTGTGTTGGATTAGTTTTGTGGTTACAGCCTTCCTATAGCCCTGCATTGCCCAGCACATAAAGACTTCTCAGTGATTCTCCTTGATGATCCGCTTTGACTTCTTTAAACAACCTGTATATCTAGAATTCAAATAAAAAAAGATCAGAATAACAGGCTGGTACATGAGTTAAGCCTAGTTTTGGCAAGGAGAAAAGATAGCTGCTTGTGTGTTTTGCATCAAGAAAATAAAAGTTAAAGCCCCTGTCTATAGAGACAGAGCACAAAGCATCATCCTCTGAAAAACAAGCCCACCAGAGGGGAAAACTATCAGTACCACAGTGTGCAACCAAGAACTGAAATGCTCACAAAATGCCTGTAGCTAGCGAAAAAACGGATCTCAGCCAGTCAAAGGACTATTTTAGCACCTTTTGTCTACTAGAGAGGAAAATTTACATTGACAACTCAATACTGTCCCTTCTCCTCACCTTCCTTATCTTGGAGAAATGTTCCCACTGAATGGCCAGTAGTGACATACTTTGATATTTAACTAAAATCTATTTGATCGAATCATCAGGTAAGATCATCATTTAGCCCAACAAAGATTAAAAACAGTCATTACACAGCTTAGTTAGCTTTAACCTCTTCACTTTGTCTGGCCAATTTTGCAAAATGCTAGCTGCATGTAGGAATACTGAGTGTCAGGATCTCAGTTTTTCAGTTCTGCCGTTTCTAAAACTTAGTCATCGATTCTCTCCCCTGTTGGTAGTGCGTCCCACCACAAAGCAGCTTTTAGGCATTTTTGTGTTGTTTGCTATCAGATCAATGATAAGGAGGCACCTTCACCAATACAAAGTCATTAGAGAGCAATTTATTGTTTTTCGGAGAGGGTGGAACTTATGCGCTTTGTCTCTATGCTCGATCTGGAGCTCCATTCCCTCCCAACCATCAGGGTCCAAACAGCATTCACTTGCAAAGACACTGCGACATGAAATGTGGAGCTTGCCGACTGATAGTTGTACAACAACTGCAAGTTGTGGTTTCAAAATATACCATAGACTCACTTAACCTTTTTGTCTTATTGGTCTGGTATAATAGATCTCATTTCTCCAAAAACAAACCTAAAAAGTAATAATTAAACCTAAAAATATAGCAGGGTGAAAGAAATGAACATTCTCAGCCTTTTCTGATTGTAGAATACAGGCTTTAGAGTTGCATTACTTAAAAAAAAGTCAGCTTTGTTCTTGCATTTCACACATCTACTAGTCACTATAACCTACTTCTGAAATATAGGAGGTGATGCTTAGGGTAACAAGCTAATATAGTTGTAATGAACTGGCTTCATCATCTAGGCATCAAACACTAATACAACAGAACAGAAACTGACTGGGCTTGTTCGGTGTTGTTATGTGGTTGAGGTCTCTTTTTAAAAATGTTTACATTATGTGGTCTGAAAACCGTGGACCTCCAAAGTGGAAAAACACAATTCACAAGGCCCCTGCAAACAAAATCCTAGGAGAATTCTCCTCCTCTTCCTGTTCCAGTAGTGAACCTGGTTGCCCCAGCGACAGCTTCTGATTGGATGACGGGAACTGCATTGTCGATCTCATACTGCATGGCCTGGACCGAGCGAGACAGATAAAACCAATTAAAAACTGAGGGAAAGAGGGAAAATATCATGAACTGTTTGATGGTTAATATTTAAACTACATTAAAAGTCAGAAATATTAACTTTGGAAAAGTGAACAAACATTGTGCACTTTATTTGGTTCTTTCACATTCAGTTTTTTAATCTGACACACCTGCTTATATGACTCTCTGGTGTGTAAGAACTCCGTAGTAACTAAACCAAATAAATAAATAATTCAACTGGAAAAGAGCTACAGTTTGGGTGACCAACACAGTATGTGACAATACACCATAAATGAAACATATGTTCATGCAGAAAATGCTTTATGAACCTTAAATCACCAAGAGAGAATATACCTGTACTTTGATATTACACTGTATGTACTGTATGTCAAATAAAGCTGACATGTTGGTATAATAATGTAAAGTTCCTGCATCCCTCATACCTGTGTGAAGGAGGGAGCGTCGTAGCAGCTGTACATGGCTGAGGAGCGGTCGGCCCGCATACACTGCTGAGGGAAGGAGCTGATCTGCTCTGCTAACTCCAGGGCTGCCTGTAAAGCTGTGGTCGCAACATGAAGTCAGTCCAACACAGTGACACAACACATACAGAACATTATGCATACACTAGGAAATGCATACAGGTTAATGTGTTAATAACACTTTCTTTTATCACAAAATCTCCAGCTCTTCATCCTGTTGCTGGAAGAGATGGAGAACTCTACCCATGCTACTGTGCCTCCTCACCCACATGAAAGCACTGGACCACATCCAGATCAGTCCTATGGAAAGAACTACTCCTCATGATGTCACACTTTGATGCCCTGAGTGAGTGTATATGTGTTGGGGAGCTGCTACTTCATCGCTTTTCTCTGATGTTAAACCCGCACTAAGTGATCATCCCTCAGAGAGGCCAATTAGGCCAGACTTGACTGTGGGAAGAAGAACTTCCTAAAAGAATTAAGCTAATCTTCTTCTAACGTCTAAGGAGAGGGGAGGGGGATTTGCACATGGAAAGGCTTTTTCAGGATTTAAGGATATGAGAGCGTTCATGCATTAATGTAATACAGGAAATGCTGTATTGAAATGCGTGCATAACTTAATCCTCAGACTGCAGCTTGAATGAGTGAGGAGAGGGTAGTGCTAATGGTGAGTTATGGCTTCAGTGCAGGGTTGGAGCCAAATAAAGAAAACAGATTCACTGGAACAAATCTGCATTATATGTGATTTTGTCTGATCTTACCTACAAGACAGTTTCTTAAAAACTGTGTTTCCTGAATGAAAATGGGTCACGGGCCTGTTTCTGTGTGGTGTCGACATGACTTTTCTTCACAGTGAATAATGATTTCTACTTCCCCCACACAGACAGAGGATTTCCAACCTCCCACATATCTGGTGTTCACATCTCTACCATTTGCTATCAAATATCCTGTAATAATAATAACTACACACTGTAAACACACATTTAACATCCTTGTTTAACATCTACATGCTTCCATTGGCTCGCACACAACAAATTATCTTATCATAATTGACGACATACACATTTACATATCACCAGGGGACTGCGGTCTAATACAAAGAATAAGAGTGAGTGCACTGAACAAATCAACAACTGGATGTGCCACAGTTGAGGTAATTGTTTTGGGAGCCAAGGAGGAACCATTAAAAGTCAGCGTTCAGCTTCAGTTGGCAGTGTTAAGACCAAGCCAATCATGGACTCAGACCTGAATTTCAACAGCCACATTAAAACAATTACAAAGTCTGCCTACTGTCATCTTAAGAATACACCAAGGATTAAAGGACTGATGTTTCAGCAGGATCTGAAAAAAAAATCTGTGTATTTATCTCCAGTGACTTTAACCGTGTCCTTACAGGTCTCCCTAAAAAAAAAATCAGTCCTGCAGCTGATTCAAAAGCTGCTGCTCGAGTCCTTACTGACAACAAGAAAGTGGATCACATCACTCCAGTTCTGAGGTCTTCACACTGGCTTCCTGCCTGTCAGAGAACTGGTTTCAGAATACCACTGATGGTTTAAAAAGCACTGAATGGTTTAGGTCCCTAGTACATTTCTGATCTTCTGCTACATTATAAACCATCCAGAACTCTCAGGTCCTTTGGGACAGGTCTGCTATATGTCCTTAGAGTCAGGGCAAAACGTGGAGAAGTAGCGTTCAGTTTTTATGCACCACATATCTGGAACAAACTCCCAGAAAACTGAAGTTCTGCTGCTCAGTTCTTTTAAATTAAAGCTGAGAACTTTTCTGTCTTTAATGACTGTTCTTGGTTGCATTATGTGTTTCTTCTGCACTCTGTCTCAATGTTTTTGATGTTTTATGAAGAGCACTTTGATTTGCCTTGTTGCTGAAATGAGCTATATAAATAAACTTGTCATGCCTTGTGTGCTGGACCAGAATAATTTAGAAGTTTCCTGAATTGCTTTTGTCTTTACCTCCCACTTGTCAACATGTTATTGTGTTGTAAACAGAAACATCTGGCCATGGCGACAGTGGTTAAGTTTTAGACAGATGACAATATCATTTTAAATTATATAAAAATCAATCAATTTAGATTAGGAAACATCGGATTAAAAATGAAGTAACAAAGCCTCATGCTGTAATCACACTACGAGCGACACAGGAGCAGGCTACAAGTCATGGAAGTGACATGAAGCTACAAACTGATGCCCGACACTTGTCACTGCGGATCAACTTTTATCAGTGCTCCAATGACATGGTGAAGGGTCAATCAATCATACTGTGTTACTTAGCTGATGCTATGATAACCTTCTGCGTACTGTGCTGCACACAGGGAAACAATGGGGTGGTGAAATGTGATGTTAAAATAGGGTTTAAAGCACAGATATTTTTTTGACCAAATACAGCTTTAGGGGACATTTAATTCAGGCTCTTTTTGGCAAGCAGACGCGCAAACTTGTGATCATGTAACTACATTAACAAGCGCTGGAGCAACTCTTCAGTGGTGACTGTGATAATGTAGTTGATCACACTGTTGCGTTGTTGCTTGTAGTGTGAACACAGCATAAGAATCTGACCGAGCATTCAATTTCAACTTTCAATACGATGCGATGGACACCTTTTGGTCACTATTTGTGATGTATTTAGGTGTGACACCCTGACACAGCAGCACTGATAGACAGAATCTACAATAACTCCAATACCTTGGCCATCAGGAACAACTCTGTTAGCGAGTCCGTAGGCGAGAGCTTCCTGTGCTCCAATTGGTCGTCCAGTCAGAATCAGGTCAAGGGCTCGTGACAGACCGATGAGACGTGGAAGCCGCACTGTTCCTCCGTCAATCAGCGGAACTCCTGAAAGCAGATGAGATGTTCAGTGTAAAACAAATGTATGATACATATTGTATCACAATCATATACATATGCCACAAACAGACAATTCTATGCTACACTTTATACACCTTAGACCAGAACATACTGAAAGTCCTCTTTACACTGGGCTTCAAATATCAGTTGATTTATCTGCTATTAGATTCAGTTTTAAGCTTTTATCAAGAATAAAAGCAAAATTTTATCTGACCATCACAAGAGTCAGAACAAAACATAGTGAAGCAGCGTTTTGTTATCATGCAGCACCAACCTGGAATAACCTCCCAGATGATGTTGGACAAGCACCAACTCTGACCACCTTTAAGTCAAAGCTAAAAACATTCCTTTTTTACACTGCCTGCTCCACCCTGTAAAGACTGCAACCTTATTTTGAAACTCAATTTTAAATACTCTTTTTATCTTTGTACCTCTTGTCTGCACTTTTGCTATTTTTAATGGTGATTTTTTTAAAATTGTAAATCATGTAGTAATTCATTTTACCTTTTATATCTTTTTTCCTCTTTATTTTTTTCTGTATCCTTCATTATGTTTTATATTTTATTGCTCTGTAAAGCATTTTGAATTGCCCTTGTGTATGAAATGTGTTATACAAATAAAGCTGCCTTGCCTAGATATTTTTGGGCTTTAGACAAAACAGCCAATCAAAGGATGCCACCTCGGGTTCTAAGACATTTTAATGGATCATTTTCTTGATGTTATGACTGTCTATCCAATAAATCAGAAAAAATGACTATCATAATAAACATAATTATTAGTTGCAGTCCTATGTTTTGGAGAGATGGAGATTCCTGTGCTGGTGAAAAGTATATCCAGAATGTGGGGGTGGGCAGACAAAAATCTGGATTACTTAACTGCAAAAAGGTGAAAAAGGAATGTAGGCCAGTGTGCCAGTGTTATTGGGTTCACACACGTCACTTAAACTGCGTGAAAACAGCCAAAATAACACTTAGAAATACATAATATACTGCTGGCATTAATCTGGGTTACAGCCGTCAGGGGAGCAAAGTTTTGAAACAATTTCACTCCTTAACTGTAACTCTGCTTTCTCTCAGTCTGTACGTGAAAACTCAAACTCCTCCTAACTCTCAGTCTCACTGGACACATTTGCGTTATTACTGCGTCTACAGAGAGACAGAGGGATAGGAGAGAAGGGAGGAAGAGGGAGAAAGTACACTGCAAGGTACAGTAAGCTTCTGGCATCTGTCCTAATTTCTAAAGAGCACCAGCTGGAACTGGCATACTTTCTACCGTTCAGCGCTCCCAAGTTCCACGCCACAATCCCGACTCCCTAATTCCTCCAAGTCCCTGATTCTATTTGACCGCCCCTTATTGAGAGCACATGTGTCGGACATGTTTTCATAACCCCAAATCATCATGCTAGCTTTCAGGTTTTTTTCTCCCCCCCTCTCTCATTCTTTGGGGAGTCTTGGAAATACTGTGATTCTATTCATACTCTGCAAGCTACTCTCTTTCTCCACGTTGTTCAAATAAATTAAATTGGAATACATGGAATACCAGTGTTAATACACGTGCGACCAATCCAAGGGGCCTGGTTTGGGTTCCGATCGTCAGCACATATGCCGCTCTGACAGACAGAAGACTGTGATTAGGTGGGGGAGGGGGGTGTTACACTGTCTGCAAATACTAGATTTCACTCAATTTTTCAGTCATTCCCCATTACAGCAGTGTATCCTACTGAAATGTAAATTACAGAGTGTATGGCTGAGCACCCTGAGCCGATGAAAAGCAACATAAATGACAGCTGAATTCCTTTTGCTGCAATTCAGTTATATGAATAGCACAGATTCTTGCAGCGCAGGTGTGTGCCTGGGTGTGTGTGAGTTCAAGGTCTTTTCAATATTGACTGAAACAACAACTGAGAGTGTTTCAGCCAGGGTTTTGCTCCGTGGAGCTTTGTCTTGCACCGCATGGAACTACACACACTTGCACACACAGGGGCATTCCTACAAACATATGTCTGTAGAGCGCACACACACACACACACAACCTTTATTGTCTGATGTACACCCACAGCCCTATCAGATGAACTCATTTATCCATTACTTAGAGATATCCATTTAAACCATTCATCTATTGATGCATCTCAGATCAGATACTTCTGTACTTATACCTGCTATGTTGCATGTATAAGTGCGTTCACACACAGAAGTATGGCAAAACACGGTGCACTATGAGTACCTGGACGGTGCACTCATAACGGTCAAAAAGTCGAGTGTGGAACGCTGGACACTTCTCACCCAGACTCATGCTGCCTATGTAGCAGAAGGGGCGGGACCACAATTACATTTCATTTAGAAAATGTGTCCATAACTTTAAGCTATTTCAGTCCTTTTACAATACTTTTAGCTAGCTGACTATTTCAATTCTTTTTCCATAACTTTTAGCTATCCATTTCAATCATTTTTTTGCTTACTAGTTTGACAATTTGGCCATTACTTTTAGCTATGTCAACCACATATCCATTAATTTTATCTGTTTAGAATTCTCAATCAAATCATTTTCCATTTTCCCTACATTTGTTTAGCTCCCTCAGTCTTTCCATGTACCCAGTGATAAGTGCAGAATCATTGCTTTAGTCCTCAGCAACACAAGGTTGATTAGTGCAAAGAGCTCCTCCATGTCATGTCCAGCATGATCACCCTGATTACAGCATGACACAGAAAAAGGAAGAAAAAGAAATGACAGAGAGATGCGGGGGCTGGCTAGAAATCAGTGAGAGGCAGGTGGAGCTGGAATGAAGAGGAGGAAGACAGAGCCTGACTCTTAGAAGAATAGATAAAGAGCCAGGTTGACCTCCAGCCAGTCTGTCTTTGGTGCTGCTGTTGGCACCATCGCTATCAGCATCCGGAAGGATCTCCTGTCTTATCCGCAGCACTCGTCTCCAGCACCTCCAGCCCTCACCCTCCTCTCCCTGTTTGATAGTCCCGTCTCTGATGTGTCCTGTTTGCGGGACTTTACACAGACCTGTGCTTTGTCCCACATGAATGGGAGCTGAGAGGTTGGAAGCACCTCACTGAAGTAGCTTTAACTCAAAAGGCATGTTTGGCTGAGGCGGAAAGCGGTGGCTTCTGATCCCCCATTCCAAGTTTCATAGAGGGAAATGTTTGGCAGTGATCCTGATACAAGATAATCAGTTAGTGTCCGCAAAACAAAAGTGTGGATTTGTCATCGTTGTTCTTCAGTAATGAGCCAAACATTTGGAAAGGAACCCTCTGCCTTCTTGTTCAAAGCAGATAAGCCCATTGTCAAGACTGAGGCTTGTTATTATTAACAAGGTTGAACATGAGTCAGCAAAGTCTATTGTTTAATAACCAGATATTGGAGGTGGTTCTCTTCCTGCATCATCAGAGCATCACAGCTTATCTGACTGACGTGTAGGAGAAGTCTGGAGGAATGAAGGAACCTTGTATTTTATCTTCTTGATACAGAAGAATACATCATGGTTGGTCTGTGATAGCAAGTCAGGTCTTTCCAAATTCCTATCTGAGTCATCACAAATGGTTTCATTCAGAAACTTAGGCTTCTTAGGTATTTTTGTTTCTTAATCAGTAATAATAATAATTTTCACAGTATTAGAGCTTCTTACGGTCACATTTATTCATTATACAAACTTGTACTGAAAGAACAGTTACCTATAATGCACACTGGCTTTTTAAAACCCTGAACTATAGCTTTATGTTTTTATAATAGGACATAAAATGACATAATGTATATAGTGGTTCCTTTTAACTGTGCTGACAAAACATAAAAATGAACATTTTAAAAGAGGTTAGCCTGTGTGTCAGTTTTAACAGCAATAAATGCTGCAGATCAGGTTTGTTTGCATTTGCCCATATTGTGGTTCATTATTATATGCAACCATCTTTGTCTTGAAATTTCCAGCATCTATTCAGTAAAATCAAACCGGGCAGCAGATATTTAAGAGAGAACAAACAGATCTTGGTTCAAGGCCATATCAGCTATTACTGTATATTATCACCTGAAATGTCAAATGAACACTGAATCCCTACAAGCTGAAAGAGTGCTGCTCTGTAGCTCTGAACTTCTTGTGGACTTTGGCAGCCAAAATAGAAAGATTATAATTTTTCTAAGAGATCACACTCCATGTGACATTACAACCAACATCTACAGCTACTAATAAGCTGAGAACAGAGTGTGAAACACAACACACTGAGGTGTTCTGGTTTGCTGCTGGTATCCTCACCACATCAAAGTGAAACCCACTACAATGGCCTCCCATGAGGGTAATGCGATTAAGTTTGATGTGGATTAACAATTTCCGGACAGCTCCAGACTAAATGGACAGAGGGAAAAGAACAGATCTTCAATGAGAAGCTCGCTTTGAAATGCTCACTAGGAAAATAGCAGCACTGGGCTAGGTCAAACATGAGTGCCACACAGTTAACTTGATTTCATGTATTTAGCCCACTGAGTTAATACCAGGCTGTGTGTTCTTTAGTTTGCAGAGCACCATTAAACAAGACCACCAAGGCTGCAAACGAGGCCTTAAACTATGAAAAATGGCAGAGGACATGTAGCACCTCATAGGAAAGCACAAAATCACATTTAAGTTTAAACATGATGAGATCATATCAGGAACCCAATCTGCCTAAAAGTGACTAAATATGAAGTACAAAGTTTTTAAATTATTCTCGGCATGATTTGTATTTAGATTAATACAAAGCTATCTGTAACTGTCCAAAATGATGCCCATATCTTGCCATCAGTTTATCCACTTTAAGGTTTACATCACCCACATTCGTGTACTCATCACTCATAGTGTTATATGAACTTGTGAACTTGTTTTTCTCGCATGCCTTCACGGTGAACAAAGAATCCAATAATGGAGAAAATTCTCAATGAATTGGAGAAAAAGGGGGCTGCGTTATACAATAGTAAAATTATATCAAAACATCCATATACAAAACCTCACATATGCGAGT